CAAGTCATATAGATACATCTCGCAGTTGTAACATACTCATCACGTAGCTATCCATCCATCATTCCCACTAATAGGGACAATACCGAACATATAAGTTCAAAACACTTGCTCACATAATCAGCACCCCGGTGCTCAAGCCATAGGCAATGATCCGGCCTCAAGTCCTCTTGACTGGCCTAACATCAAACTCACAGAGATTACACCTCGCCCATCGATCGGGGAATTACAAGCCATCAAGGCACATCTAATACTGAGCATTCGTTCGCGCATACGAATATGTGGAAGGAACTGTAAAAGTTACTTTTTCAAGCTGAATCAAGGAGGCACGATTATGAATTCAAGAATATGAAGTTTTTCCTAAAGGTTCTGCAGCCTCCCGAGGATAAGTACAGACGTCTCCGTACCGATCCACGAGACTTTACTAAACCAGCTCATGACTCGCGAGACCTAGTAACCTAGGCTCTGATACCAACTTATCACGACCCAAAATCCCAACCCGATCGTGATGGCGCCTCTCGTGAGGACAAGGCCAGCCAATCAACAAAACAGTACATCTCTTTATAATTACTTAGCAGGAATAAGTCTAAATCATGGGCAATATAATCTTAAATGCGAAATAAACGTGATAGAACAAGGAAAACCATCCCAACTCAGCCCGAAATCGGGGTGTCACAAGTCATGAGCTACTACAGAGTTTACTAATAGTTTACAAAGTCTAGAATTATCATAAATAACAAAGATAAAGGAGAAAATGGGGCTGCGGACGTCAACAGCTACCTCGTTACTCCTAGTCACCGCCTGGCCTGGAAAGAATCAGCGCTCAGGAGCGAACTCAGCTCTGCCTGTATCTGCACACATGGTGCAGGGAGTAATGTGAGTACTCCGACCCAGTGAGTAATAAAAATAAATAACGACTGAAAACATGAAATCTCATAACGGCACAATATAGTGCTATCCCAAGCAGTAAAATCAGTTATACAGTAAAACAGTGAGTATCAGATAATTCTTTTTTTAAAACAGTAAAGACAAATAATTTACACTGTAAGGATAAATCAAAAGCTTGTCCCTCGGGCTCAATATGTAAACCTCGTATAGTATCAGCCCATCGGGCTCACTCCCAACTCACCAGCACACAACATCAGCCCCTCGGGCTCACTCCTAACTCACCACACACAAGCAACGGCCTCTCGGGCCCACTCCCAACTCACCTGGGTACCCTACGCTCATTGGGGGTGCGTACAGACTCCAGAAGGGCTCCTACAGCCCAAGCGCAATATCAATAGGCCTGAAAGCCTTCACACATCACACACGAGGCCTGAAAGCCTCCTCATATAACACTCGAGGCCTGAAAGCCTCCTCACATCACTCAACATATCCTCACGTATGGCCCTCGGCCTCAATCAGTCCAGAAAATAATCATAAGCCTCTTGGGCATCAGTAAAACAATAGTGCTCAGCTCAACAACATTATAAATATCATTAAATCTCGAGTTGAGTATAAATGTAGCTGAGTTCACAAAATAATATAATTCAATTGGACTGAGTTCAAATAATATTTCAATTCGTGAGGAAAATAGTGATTTAAATTCACAAAAGATTTCAGATAATTGGCACGCAGCCCAAATATGGCAATAAGCCCCAATCATAGTGAAAAACAATAAATCTTTATCAATTACGCGGTAAAAATATCAACTGGGATGGACCAAGTCACAATCCCCAATAGTAAATGACCCCGTGCTCGTCATACAACGCGTGTCTCATCTCAACATAGCAGTATGTTGTGCAATCCGGGGTTTCAAACCCTCAGTGCATCATTTAAAATCATTACTCACCTCGAACCGGTGAAATCTATAGCTTGTGACGCCTTTGCCCCTCAAATCGGCCTCCACGCGCGTCGAATATAACCAAAATCAGAGCGAATACATCACAATATGCTAAGGGAACAATACCCAATCGAAAATACTCGAAAAACACTAAAATCACGAAGTTGGCAAAACCCGAGCCCTGGGCCCACTTCTCGAAAAATTACGAAAGTCACATCACCGGATTCCCCGTCTCGCCACGAGTCCGTACATATAAAATTTACCAAAATCGGAGTTCAAATGACCCCTCAAATCTTCAAATCTTATTTTCAAATCCCTAGGCCTAAATTTTCAATTTAATCCTCAAAAACATATAATCTAGTCGGATTATTCGATGATAATTCAATATTATGGAGTAAAAATAATCACAAGTGACTTACCTCAAGATTTTCCAAGATTTCTTGCTAAAAATAGCCCAAAACCGTGTTATTTCGCAAGAAAATAGGTAAAAAAAAAACAAGCAGAAATGCAGCAGCTTTTAATAAGCAAATCCGGTCGCTAAAGACTCAAATCTGGTCGCTAAAGGTGCTAATCTGGTCGCTAAAAGTGCCACACCAGACCTGATGCACCAGCAATCTTTAATTTTACTAAAAAAGCTCTAACTCCTTCATACGAACTCGGAATTAGACGATTCTTGTTCCTATGAGTCCCAAATAATAATACGAACACAACCATTTAATCGAAACTCAATTTGGAGCTCATTTACCCAGTGCGATATCCATTTCGCTCGTTAAACAATTACTAATGTTTCGCATCAAAAACCCAATCGAGACTTGATGAAATTAGACCAAAATTTCCAGATCAGTCCTATAATTCATTATCAAAATTCCGAAAGTCTCAGAATTAAATTTGGATCTATAGAACTAAAAATGAACCT